TGAACTACTACAGCATCATCATCAGCAGCAACGGCGGCAGCTATCATCGTCGTCGTACCAAGAGTACCAGCATCTACTGGTTCGGCCCCCTACCATCCCTACCTCCCGTCATGCCCCTCTTTGGGTCTACATCCCACCAGGTTAGTCGTTCCGTGTCCCAACCAGTGATGCTTCCGGCTACCTCCTCACACCCCCATTCAACACCAACTAACGACAAGTCGACATGGCGGCGAGATGGACATAGTTTTGCTACTCGGTATACCAACCATTCGCCACCAGCTGAGATCATCATCCTTCCCGAACGCCGCCAAGCCGATCATCAATCTACTGTTACCCCCTCGGGGCAGCTTCGACCACCTTCATCAGGGCCCGTACCTCTGCCTCCCTCGATGGCCGTGTTATATCCCCAGACTGCTAGGGGCTTGGTAGGAGTTGATATTACCAAGCCAGCCGGGGAGAGCGATAAGAAGGGGTATGGTAGTACACTCCCAGAGGGCCTTGGTAAGGACAGCAAGGTAGACAGACCCTTACACTGAACATGGTCACAGGTCTTGACCATCCCTCTGATGTAATGGAGTTGCAACTAGCAGTACATGCCTTAGAGTTAGAGAATGCTGCATTGAAGAGGCGAGCGAAGGAGAGGAGTAGGACATTGGAGGAAGCTCAGAAGAAGGTAAACATCACCTTCCACTCTTATCCGATGGTCACTACCTCAGGTACAGTCACTACAGGAAGCCCTGAGAGAGGCAGAGCTATCGAGTGATACTGCATGTCTGTTGCCGGCGGGCAGTTCTTGTGTAGATACTCAGTCTACTGCTACTGATGGCTCTATGACCACCTATGGTGTAGTGAGTGAAAGCTTACGGAAGGTAGTTGGTCTCCTTACTGAAGCAGGACAGCAGTTGCACAGGCCTAAGGAATGTGGTGCACTCCTTATAGAGGTAGTAGCCTACGTATGTTGGGTGTGCTATATTGATGGGCAGGCTGCAGAGAGGATAGCGGAGATAGACGAGAGCATGAGGAGGAGGAAGATCATGTCATCGGGGGGCCAGGTAGTAGTAGTACTATTGGAATGCCGATCTACTGTTGTGTATGGTGATGAGGTTAGGAGAGGGGCGTTGATGATGATAGCAGCAGCAAGAAGGTGAAGACGTTGGAAGTCGAGGTAGAGGACTTGAGGAAGAAGTTAGCAGAGGCCGAGAGGATGATCACTAGCTCCCATGCTAGGGAGTTCGATTTGGTCATTATAGCAGCATGTGTAGAGGCTGACTCATCGTTCTCCAGTTGAGAAGCATCAAGGAGGAAAGTGCTGATCTGCCGAGGTCATCGCGGTCGTTCAATCGAATACTGAGGAAGAGTGGATACCACCACCACCAAGATGAGCAGTCTCATCCTCATCATCAGCCCTCGAGCCCGGAGAGAGTAGGTCTTGGAATAATCCTGCCCCCACCTCACTATGCTCCCCCCTAGGTAAGCACGGATCATCGGCCGAGGACCTCTTTCCTCGAGGAACTGGCGTTGCATGGGGTACTCTCATCACCAGAGGCATCAGATGGAACCGTTAGTGATGATGGTCTCAACAGCAT